CGAATAATGTAAATAGTGTACATAATACCTCATCTCAGAAATATAAACAAAAGATACTGAAAGGCCGAAATGTTTGTAATAAATATGGTGACAAAAGATAGGACAATACGAATAATGTAAATAGTGTACATAATACCTCATCTCAGAAATATAGAGAGATACTGAAGGGCCGAAACGTTGTAATAAATATGACGACAAAGATGAGGTCAATAGTCCGAATAATGTAAATAGTGTACATAATACCTCATCTCAGAAATATAGACAGATACTGAAAAGTAGATAATGCTATTCATGCACATACATAGATACATAATAGCTGGCTACAGCTATTCGAGGATACCCGTCTACTATGCTGGGCAGACCTTAGTTACAGTTTCTGCTAGAGAGCGTGTCATCGGCCACGATGACTTGTGGCTTCGTGCAAGCACAGCTATCGACGTCCCACAAGAGTTCCGTCTAGCCAATTTCACTCACAATGCTTGGGTCAGTGCTTTTTTTAAAAAATCAGGAAGAAACCTATCGCGGCGTCGACCATGGTGAGATGCTAACCCGGGTCTCATGGTCAGAAAGCGAATGTTCTAACCTCGCGCCGAACATAAATACATTCTGACCAGTTTTCGTGCACAACCGTTTGATAAGGTAACGAGACAATCCCTTTCGCACACACCTTCTTCTGTTTGTTCAACACCTACATAGCCCATTTATGGTTTATACTGCAACTAAGCGGACCTTAGTGACGGTTTCTGGGTGAGAGCGCATAACCTGGCGTGATCAATAATCTGAACAACGACTACACTCTCAAACCCTCGATGCGTACAAAATCAATAAATTCATAACGGTTCAAATGTCATTTATCATGGACTCCAAACAAATCTGAAATGTGCACAATCCTTGTTTGCTTGCTGCTGCTCTTCTTCTCCCCCTCCTTCTCCCCCTCCTTCTTCTTCTCCTCCTTTTTCTTCTTCTGTGTGTACGTGTGTGTGTGAGCATCCTATTTCTGTCTGGTAAAATCTGTCTCTTGATAAGAGGAATTTTTGGTGGAGAGTTAAAGAATTTCAGTTACACCGGTTGTGGTTGTAGACAGACTGATATTATATCCTTTAAGTATGGATTTTATAAAAGTTGGAGATATAAAAAAAATGTGTTTGCCGTGGGAAAATATTTATCAGGATTGCTTCTAAGTATTTTCGAGATAATATGTTCTTTCCGTATAAGGGTGGCATTTATTGAATCAAAATTATGGCCTGCTTTGTTTCCTATGTGCGCAGATGCGGGCACGGACCTATATAGATCTCTTGGCATTGCAGATTAATAGACAAAAATAAAATGCCCACAAGACGAACACACATCAACCAAAGCCTGCATAGACCAACTAGAATTTAGATACAAAAGCACTCAAGAATTAACGCTACCAAACAAGACGAATACATATGAGGTTTATCTAACCAATGAATAACAAAAATCAGAATTTTCCTTTTCACCTCCATACTTAATTTCTGATGAAGCTTAATTAAAAGCGAAACATGTTGAATTTATAAATGTTTCCAATTTATTCGTCGTTCTATATATTTTGATTGTTTCATTTCTATGGTTTCTTAGCCCTTTTGCAGATTATTTAAAAGCCAGAGGATATTATTGAGATTGTAAAATTTGGGGCGGGAGGAGATAATAATATTTTAGTAATGAAAGTTTTACAAATTAACCCATAACTGGAGGAGAACATGTGGTTTCATGCCTTTCCCAACGGTATCTGCGCATAAATTAAATATAACTAACCCAACTGGAATCGGAAATCGGCTCTCCAATTAATAATTCCGAGCCACTATACATTACACCACCCGCACATCCGCGGGTAGGTCACTTGGTATTCACAAGTAGTCACTCATCTAGGTATTGACCAGGCTCGACGTAGATTAACGTAGATTAGTGATCATACGAGAACTGGTGTTTCAACTCGATGTGGCCGTAAGATATATATATATATATTGTTATTATTATTAATATTTTATTATAAGATATTAAAACAAAAACATGTTGAAATCACTACACAATAGATTTCGTGTTTCGGTACTACGTTGTGCCTCTACAGGCGATGGTAAATTATTTAATCACCAGTCGCTTACGATGCTAAGAACAGCGGGAATTTTACTTCATCTGTTCTTTCTTTCATTTACAGGTATATATATATATATATATATATATATATATATATATATATATATATATATATATATATCAAAAAGAATGCCAAGTACAGTTTGATATTGAGAATTACTACCAATCGATATCAAAGGAACTTTTGGCGAATGCTATGGATTTTTCTACTCAATACTCAGACATAACAGATGTAGAGAAAAACATAATTATTAATGCGAAAAAATCGGTACTCATTATATTGACGTGTAATATATTAAAAACCCTAATGGCCACTTCGACATCACAGTGGGATCATTGGACTCTGCAAAGTTCTATGACCTTATAGGTCTTTTTATATTATATAATCTTACTGCATATCGCGAAATTAGTATAAATGACATTAGCTTGTACAGAGATGATGGACTTATGGCTGTAACGAATTCGACGTAATTTAAAATTGATGAAATTAGAAAACTATAACATAGAGAATTTAAATGCCTAAAATTTAAAATTACTGTAATTATTAAAATAAAAAGTTATCTTCCTTGATATAACATTAGATTCAATGAATAATATATACCTACCTTACAAAAATCCCAATAATAATAATCCTTTGTATATACACCCTAAGTCTAATCATCCTCCACCTATAATTAAGCATATACATTCATCTATTGAAAAAAAGAATAAGTAGAAATTCAGCAAATAAGAAAATATTCTATGGACATAATAATTTCTGTAATAAAGCTCTAAAGAATAGTGTCTATAACTGCTCAAAACTCAGTTATATAAAGTATGAAAATGGACATCATAAAAAATAGAAATAGAAAAATCCTTTATTATACTTCCCCATACAATCAAATTGTAACAAATATTTAGGACAAAAATTACTTGCATTAATTGATAAATATTTTACTAGAGATAGTAAACTCAGTACAATGTTTAATAAAAATACCCTAAAATCAAATTTCAGTTGTACTAAGAACTTAGAAATGATTGTTAAGAAACATAATGCTAATATCTTGAATAAACACTTATACAAATGTCAAAAAAATATAAAACATAAAATGAAAAAAACTGAGGATAAAGTAAAATTATGTGAGTGGAAATCCTCAAAACTGTCCTCTTAATTCTAAATGCCGTATTAAATCAGTAATTTATCAATGCAATATTTCATCTATTGAAGATCCAGACATGGTTAAATTTTATATTGGATGCACACGTAATGAATTCAAAAGAAGGTTGAACCAACATCAAACTCCCTTTAATAATAATGAATACCGAAATCAAACATCCCCATCTAAATAATTCTGGCACTTTAAAGAAACCAAATAACACCCACGGTAAAATGGAAATTAATAAGAAAAGCTAGAGCTTGTAAGTCATTAGATAACCCATTTCCTTTGTGCATACACGAAAAATTATATATTAAGTTTCTGAAAAATAAAAATTTACCAAAGAAGAAATGAGATAGCTATTTTTGTAGGCACTGTCAAAAATTTTCCTTAAGTAATGATTAATTTTGAAAAAAAAAATTAAAGAAGCGAGATGAAACATGTATTTTTATATTTGATCATTAATTAGTAATTAAATTTTAATATATTTATTTGTAAAAATACCGTATAGTCAATTAGTTATTAGAAGAACGAATGGTATTTAAATATGTGAGAATAAAATTTAAATATTAAAAATATGACTAACACATAATTAAATGACACTTTTAGAAAGTCTTTTCGTATAATAATATGAATTAAGCGGTTGAATAAAAATGCCATTTTTTGTCATTGAAAACCGAGTCGACTCGCTGAATAATGGGTGTATACGTTTGTCAGCAGCCCCCCACCCCATTCCACCTCAACTTAACCTTTGTAAGTAAAATATATTTTATACATAAGCTGTCTAGGGAAATTAAAACCCATCTATCCCTAAATTAAAATAGATTGAATTTTCCTTAACCTTAACAAATCATAATATTAATATTGTTTGCGCTTATAAATTAAGTAAATTTCTTTGAAAGGTATTCCTAACATCGCTTGACAATGGAACAAAACTGTGGAATTTAAGTTTAATTTTCATAATTAAATTTATAAATTTAGTTTCAAATTTTCTGTGTAACGATGGAATCATATTTTTAAAAAGAAACTATATATATATACCGAAGGCTGTAAAAACGGTAAGGAGTTACTGAGATTAAAAAAGAAAGTTGTGGAGAACTGTGATCACTTACTTCCTGAAAAGACATACCATATAAAAGAGAAGACAAGAATATTATAATAAATGTTGAATAACTTTTTTTTGTTTTCGTAACGAAATATCTATCTATCTATCTATCTATCTATCTATCTATCTATCTATCTATATATATATATATATATATATATATATATATATTATTCGCATATTGGTAGACGTTTTTCTGCGTGCGTAGGCATGATTACGACTATAATTCGTATCCATCTATCACGAATATAATTACCAGATCATCGCCATTTATTTTCGAAAGCCTGCTGATACATGCACACAGAGGTTATTTTCTTTAGTTTTAAATATAGACTGACAGGATTTTCTTGCAAAAACAAGAAATACGCCATTTACTTATAAGCTAAAGAGAAACGTCTAACTCTCTCTCTCTCTCTCTCTCTATATATATATATATATATATATATATATATATATATGCATATTCCACAGTCGTAAAAAAATTAAAGAGAAATAAAATGAAACACAAAGAGTGAGGTTAGGCTGATGATAGTAAAAACAAATCGGCAAGTCTTGTATTTTCGTTCACATCTGATGACGCCAACGAACACGACCTCGCCCTTTTGTTATTATTCTAGTTCTTATGAGTAACAGGAGAACTTAAATTAACTATAATAATAATAATAGAAGAAGGAGGAGGAGGAGGAGAAGAAGAAAAAGGAGGAAGAGGAGAAGGAGGAGCAAGAAGAAGGAGGAGGGGGAGGAGGAGAAGGAGAAGAAGAAAAAGGAGGAAGAGGAGAAAGAGAAGGCGACTGAAAAGGAGGTGGTGTAGAAGAAGAAGAAGAAGAAGAAGGAGGAGGAGGAGGAGGAAAAGAAGAAGGAGGAGGGGGAGGAAAAGAAGAAAAGGGAGGAGGAGGAGGAGAAAGAGGAAAGGAAGAAGAAAAAGAAAAAGATGAGGTGAAGAACAAGGATGAGGTGGAGCAAACGAAGAAGAAGAAGAAGGGAAGGTGGAGGAAAAGAAGAAGCGGAGGAGGAGAAGGAGAGAAAAAAAGAGGACGAAGAAAAGAAGAAGAAGGAGTAGTAGCAAGAGAAGATGTAAAAGGATGGAGGAGGAGGAAAAGAAGAGGAAGAAAAAAAGGAAGGCGGAGGAGGAGGAGCAAGAAGAAGAAGAAGAAAGGCAAGAAGAAGAAGTAGGAGGAACACAAGAAGAAGAAGAAGAAGAAGAAGTGTTGCTTTCGTGCGGAAGGCATAATGAGTAATGTTTTGTCTCCGTCTCAACTACATGGAAATTGTACACTGGAGATTTGTCAATAATTTTCCGTAACATGGTCTGATCATCAGCGATTAAACCGGTTTTCTACCAGGCTTTTTCTGGTGAGGAGGTCGTCTATAGACCCAGCAGAATATAAAACAATCCTATCAAAAAGTGGATGAGCCTTCTTGTTGGGTTATATCGTGAAATATCGCAGGAGGCAAAGAGGCCCAGGGTGGCATGTATTTTTGCAACGCTAGAATAAACTCAAGATCGAAAAAAAAAAAAACTTACCTCCAGCACAAGCAAAGATTCGAACGTGCGTCGCAGTGTAAAATGTCCAAAGGAGAAAAATAGCGGCTTCGCGGGTCACATTTAAAATAGATATCGTAGTAACATACTCTCTCGTGAGATTATCTATGCGCATAAATTTTGGCTGTCAATGATACATAAATAAATACAAGCAACCCTTGGCCTCTTTCCTCTCTGCGAAAGATAAGTGTGTAAACCCCTATTCTGATATTTGCCGGGCGCAGGGATCCGTCCCTGCACTGGTAGTATCACAGCGATGACTAGCTTAGATCGGCTCTGACCAGCCTGGACAAGCTATGACCATCTAAGAACAAGACACTCAGGTCCCCACGTTAAAAACGGAACTTGTGTTACAACCTGACACAGTAGGAGGTCAAGTAAATCAACCCCTCTGCGATAGTTCCCTACAGGTTAACAGCCATCTAGCACAATGGTGTACTCTGAGCTCGATAGCTATTTATGCAGTCAGTACGGTGATGACACGTCTTCGCTGGGCAGAGGGCATCCTAGGCGGAAAACCCTCCAGGTGAAGGGTCTCCTTGATGGAATCAATGGTCACGTGTCGGTAACCAAGGTGAGCCTTCAAGCTGGAAGATATCGGCTGTGATCTGGTTTGGAGAGGGACGGACCAGGTCTACTTTCCCAAGGCACACAACGCCTCTCAGAAGAAGAGAAAGAAATATGTTGCGGATTTGAATCGAGCCACAACAAAGAAAAAAACGAGAATCATATTTAAATATATAAAAAAAAAATATTTTTATTTCCAGGTTTTTACAACTAAATTTTCTCCGTGTATTAAAAAATCTTGTGTTAAAGTTCCTTGTCTGCAGTTGTTGTTTAAAATGAAAAGAAATGCAATTTCTCCGCGTGTATATGTGAAAAAAAGAGACACGGGATAAAGTGAGGGGGAATGTGTAAGTGTCGCGTAGTTTGATGTGGATGAATGTAAGTATCACCTAGATTGTTGAGGAAGACAGATGAATATGACGTAGGATAAAGGCACACAATGCATTAATTCATGCGTCTCAAGCTTTCAACACAGACATGTGGCGGGAACAGACCAGTTGCTCAGCTGCACAACGACTTTACGACCGCACCCAGTTACGAGACTGTTGATGATGCGGCTCTGTAAAAAAAATGTTTTTTAATGGCTCAGGTTGTTGGGTCGATCCCAACTTTCTCAACAGAGCTTGTGATTTTTTTCCAGTCAGCGTAATTTCTTCTTAGTTAGTCTCTAGTGAGATAAGAGGGACAGAAGTAAACAATACCCAACTTACCTAATGAACATGTGTAAATGGTTGGCTGGACTAGGATTAGTCAAGTCAAAATTTACTAATCGCTACAAAGAACAGGAAACTGTGGAGAGCCATTGTCATCCACGTCCTGAATGGAAACGACAAAAAGAAGAAGAGAAAGAAATATATTGCAGATTTGAATCAAGCCACAACAAAGAAAAAAAACGAGAATGTTATTTAAATATAAAAACAAAATATTTTTTTATTTCCGGGCTTTTACAACTAAGTTTTTCTCAGTGTATATGCGTATTAAAAATCTTGCGTTAAAGTTCCTTGTTTGCAGTTGTTGGTTAAAATGAAAAGTAATGTACTTTCGCCGCGTATATATGTGAAAAAGAGAGACAAGGGAGAAAGTGAAGAGGAATGTGTAAGTGTCACGTAGTTTGGTGAGGAAGAGTGTAAGTATCACTTAGATTGTTGAGGAAGACGAGTGAATATCACGTAGTTTGATAAGGTAGAGCGTAAGAGTCTCCTAGCTTGGTGAGGAAGAGTGTCACGTAGCTTGGTGAGAAAGAATGTAAGTGTCACGTAGCGTGGTGAGAAAGAGTGTAAGTTTTACACAGCGTGCTGAGGAAGAGTGTAAGTGTCACATAGCGAGATGAGAAAGAATGTGTCTCCTAGCTTGGTGAGGAAGAGTGTAAGTGTTACATAGCTCGATAAGGGAGATTGTAAGTGTCACGCAGATTGGCAAGGAAGAGTATAAGTGTCAAGTAGCTTGATGATGAAGAGTGTGAATGATTTTTTTTTAAACTGCGCTGGCCGACGTGAAATATTGTCACATGTATCCGTCTCTATCTCCTTAATGGTTTTGTCAGGCTATAAACTTTACTTAAATAGCCTCCAAAGGGATCACAAATCACTTTTTTTATATATTATTATCGGAAGGAACGCGACTCGTCGGTTGAAAAATATTAACGATACATGGCACAAGGCTGAGTTTAAAGTGAGAGACTTATTTCTGCATAGAATGTAACTGCTCAAGTTTTTCAGCCATTTATCATTTGCACATGCTTCGTAAACCAGGGATTAAAACTAGTCACTTCCCTAAAGGAAAAGTGATACCCAGAGAAATGGACAGCTACAGCTAAGCATTTTCCAACTTAATATCTATCTATCTATCTATCTATCTATCTATCTATCTATCTATCTCAGCCTGTTCACATCTATCATCTATCTCAGTCTGTTTATATCTATCTATCTATCTATCTATCTATCTATCTATCTATCTATCTATCTCAGCCTGTTCACATCTATCTATCTATCTATCTATCTATCTATCTATCTATCTATCTATCCCATCCTGTTCATATCTATCTATCTATCTATCTATCTATCTATCTATCTATCTATCTATCTATCTCGGTTTATTCATATCTATCTATCTATCTATCTATCTATCTATCTATCTATCTATCTCAGCCTGTTCACATCTATCAGCTCTCTCAGCCTGTTTCTTTCTATCTATCTATCTATCTATCTATCTATCTATCTATCCTATCTTCCTTCCCTCCTTTTGTTCTTATCTATCTTGTTCTGTTTAAGTCTAGATATTTATCCCACTCTGCCTAAATATATATATATATATATATATATATATATATATATATATATATATATATATTCATGTTTCATTAAAAAACAGCAGACAAGGTACTACGGTTAAGTTTTTATTTAATTTTCTTGTGTTCGAACACGAGCTTTCTTTTCTGGACAAAGAGTGTGGTACTCAAATAAAATTTCAATAAAACGTTTAAAAATATAGATTTACTTCTTTCTAATTCTTTTTTACAAATTATTTCTATCGCAAATACAAATAAAGTTATAAATTTTTAAAGTGCACACGAACTTTATGGACACCCTGCATATATATATATATATATATATATATATATATATATATATATATATATATATATATATAATACCTTTTCATTAGCTATATATCTTGGTCTGATGAAGTCTAGGTATCTACCTCACTCTGTTCATATTTATTTGTCTCAGTCTGTTTCCATCTATCTATCTATCTATCTATCTATGTATCTATCTATCTATCTCAGTCTGTTCATATCTATCTATCTATCTATCCAGAGTTATCCTTATTCTGTAACCCTCTTCTTTGAGTGGCCGTCGGACCTTATATTTGTGAAAAGCCATAAATATGTGGTGTCGATTATAATAACACTTACTATTTATTCATTAGAATCTCATGTTAATTATTACATTATTTCGAATTGATTAACACTCGAGGATGTTATTGATATGGCGCTGAATAAAATACCAATATTTCGAAGCAACAGCGAAGTTTAGAATCGTGCATTCTATGCAAACCAATTCAAAGAATCGTAAGCGTTTGAATTGAAGTAGAACTTCCAGATTGATAGTCTTCGTAAACTTGTTCAGGTGATTAGGTAATGCTATTTCGGTTTCGACTTTGAGGAATCTGGATAAACAAAAAAATGACTTAGAGGAATATTGTTCTTCGCCTCAATTCTACTAATATGTGTCTTGTCCCTTCAAAACCTAGGAGTTCATAGCTCTCCTCTATTTCCTATCCTTTGTAGCTCTTAATCATTTTTTTCTTTCCCTCCGAAACCCTGTTCGGCCATTTATTCACTCAAGCCTGTCAGGTAACTTATGCGTCACTTACCTTCAATCTGTCCTGTGAGTATTAAATTTTCCAAGTCATCTTTCCTTGTCATGTGCCCTAGAAATTTCAACTGTCTCTTCCTTTCTGTATCTCTGAGATGAGATATTATGATTACCTGCATTATTTACATTATTCTGACTGTTATCCTCATCTTCATTGCCATATTCACAACGTTTCGGCCGTTGTACGCTCCAGTCTTCTTCAGGTGATTCGAATATCGAACTATATCTCTGAGATGAGATATTATGATTACCTGCAATATTTACAATATTTGGACTATTATCTTCATCTTCATTGCCATATTTACATCGTTTCGGCCGTTGTACGCTACGGCCTTTTTAAGGTGATTGGTATTTCGAACCGAACACTTTATTTCGAACCATCGGCGTAGATTATTCTAGTTCCATGTGCCATGCCTCTTCCGGATGTCTGAGTTAATTTCCCTTTAACTCATCCCTACAAGTTTTTGGTTCACCACTGCTTTGGCCTGTTAATGAACTCATAACTTTTGGGGTCTAGTCACTGGATCTAACTAACGTTTATATCCTCTGAGCCGTGTGTCCTCGAGGACATCTTTGTATGATGTGCATGATGTTAAATACAAATTTCCTTTTTTTTCTAAAACTTCGTTGTTGCTCACACGTTCTGTCCATGGTATTCTCAGCAGCCTTCTGTAGAACCACATTTCTGTTGCTTCAAGTATCTTCTTCATCTTTGAGGAGATTGTCCAGTATTCACTGCCGT